CCTGCCCCCAAAACCTAGTGAGATCCCAAAAGTTCAATTTTTATCAGTAAAGTCTCTCTACTTCTGTCAGAACATCTCAGTGCACAGGCACGCACGTCTTGTGAGACTCAAAACATGTGGATGAGGTCTGAACCGAGCAGCCTGGAAACAAGGTCACCGGTCAATCTGACCCGTGAACTTCACTGGCTGAGACAAAAAAAAAACCCCAAGTGACTGTTTCATCAGGAATCCCAACCGACCTGACTTCCATTTCGAGGTGGCTGCAGCGGAAAACTTGGTTAAGCATGAAACAAAGCTCACAGCTGCTTAAACGCTTTTGAAAAATATCTAACCAACATAAAGCACGGGCTCAGGAGGGGAAAAAAGCCCTTCCCTCGAAACAGCTTGTCTGGGCTTTTAGTGAAGCTTTCAGCGGCCTCACCTGCCCCCAACACACCACTGGAGCCTGTTTCACTCCCTCTTCGTTTTGGCCTCTCCCCTTAAGCAAAGCGCCGTCCCAGCACGTGTGTGGGACACGGTGGGGACAAGGCCCCCACCAGCCCCCTGCACGTACGGAGCACACTCACCAGCCACCACCCCCAGCACCGGTGCTACGGCAGCACCCCAGGACGCGGGCGGGGGTCCAGGTGCAGCACGGAGCATGGCACGGAGCAAGGCATGGCACGCTGCCGCGCGCGGAACACGTGCTGACGGGGGAGCACGGGCGGCGCGAAGCAACCGTCAGCTGCACCATCGGCCAGAGCCAGCCGCCGGCTGCGCTCAGCGGTTTATTGTTCTAATAATCGTGCGGACACGGGGAAAGGGGGAGTCTCGACATTCACCGCTTGTTCGAGTAGCTGTTTCCTTGGCGGCTCCGCCTGCTCTTCCATCAGGAGGCCGCATCCGGAGCATCAGGGGGGCGGCTGTGCCGGCCATCCCCCCCGCCGGCGGGTCAGGAGGGTGGGAGGAGGCGACATCCGCAGCAGCGGGAAAGGCAGGCGGGTGCGGGTCCAGGCATGAGCCAGCAGCCCTGTCCTCTGCCTCAACAAGCTCAGAGAAACAGGCAAAACAAACCTTTCATGAGAGTTTGGGATTCATCTGGAGAATTTTTTGGTCACAATTATTTTTACCCCCCCCCCAATTCAGCAGGCAGAGATGGTCTGTGGTGGGGTGACCCTGGCTGTTTTTTTTCCGCTCTATCACTCCTCCACCTCAGCTGGGAAAGGGAGAGGAAACACAAGGAAAGGCTCGTGGGTTGAGATAAGGACAGGGAGATCATTCAGCAATTAGAGTCATGGGCAGAACAGGCTCGACTCAGGAAAAAGTAATTTAATTTATTAGTGATCAAATCAGAGTACCAAAATGAGAAATAAAAACTAAATCTTAAAACACCTCCCCTGGCCCCCCCCCGTCTTCCTGGGCTTTAGTCCCGAATTCTCTATGTCCTCCCCCTGGCAGCTCAGGGGGACAGGGAACAGGGACTGCGGTCAGTTCATCACACGTTGTTTCTGCTGCTCCTTCCTCCTCAGGGGGAGGACTCCTCACACTCTTCCCCTGCTCCAGCGTGGGGTCCTTCTCACAGGAGACAGTCCTCCATGAACTTCTCCAACATGAGTCCTTCCTATGTGCTGCAGCTCTTCACAAACTGCTCCAGTGAAGATTCTTCCTGTGGGGTTCAGTCCTTCAGGAACAGACTGCTCCAGCGTGGGTCCCCAACAAGGTCACCAGTCCTGCCAGCAAACCTGTTCCAGCCTGGGCTCCTCTCTCCACAGGTCCTGCAAGGAGCCTGCTCCAGCATGGGCTTCCCACGGGGTCACAGCCTCCTTTGATCACATCCACCTGCTCCGATGTGGGGTCCTCCATGGGCTGAGGGTGGATCTCTGCTCCACTGTGAACCTCCATGGGCTGCAGGGGAACCTGTTCCAGCACCTGAAGCATCTCCTCCCCCTCCTTCTTCACTGACTACGGTGCATGCAGAGTTGTTTCTCTCGTATATTCTCACTCCTCTCTCCAGCTGCAATCATGTAGTTTTCTTCCTCCTTCTTACCTCTGTTATCCCAGAGGTGCTGCCACCATCACTAGTGGGCTCAGCCTTGGCCAGGAGCAAGTCCATCCTGGAGCTGGCTAGCATTGGCTCTACCGGACACAGGGGAAGCTACCAGCAGCTTCTTACAGAAGCGACCCCCGTAGCACCTCTGCTACCAAAACCTTGCCACGCAAACCCAACACATGGTCTCAGGGTGTAGGAACCATCATGGTGTCTCAAGTGTGACACTCCTTGAGCATCACCCAGCTCTGCAACCAGGCCAGGACTGCCCAAGGAAAGCTCAAACACTGAGAGCACACTATAAAGCAGCTCCTGAAGGCTCAGGGCAGAAGCACCATTTCTAAATGTGGGAGTCAGTCAAACTGCAAACTTCTGCCCAGGCTGTTTCTGCATAAAAACCTGAAGCACCCAGGCCAGGATTTTACAAAAAAAAAAAAAAAAAACACACCAAACCAAACCCGAACATCTCAGCTCCCATAGCAAGAATAAGCCCACAGTGAATTTGTTATTATCTGTTAGCAAAGCAGCAGCTTCCCACCAAGGCTGGAATTTCCATCTTGGTTTGGCAGGCATGGGGCTGTGAAATGATTACTGTGTTTACTTTTCCTTTGCTAACTATAAAATCCCATTCCACTGCCCTGCCAAGAATGACTGAAGCTAATAAAATTCAGGCATTTGGAAGAAAGCAATAATAAACCTCCCTTTTGGGGCCTTTATGATGAAATTTCCCCACTCTGATCAACGATTATGCTGTATTCATGAACACTAGTGATGTCTCCAAGTGCACCCAGATTGACTCAAATCAATATTTAGCTTTGCTTGAGACTGGAAGCCTTTCTCCGTGCGGCTGCTGAAGGCAGGATCACTGAACTGCACAGCTAGAAGCAGCCTTTGAAAAAACAGCTTACAAGAATATAAGGCTGCATATATATACACACATATATATGTGTATGTGTACATATATATAAAAAAGTAGGCTTTTCAGTTACTTAAAAACCTGTGAAAAATATATATACACATGAAACATTCACGGACGCACGGATTTACAAATCCTTTTCCAAATATATAGAAAGCCATTAATATAATGCATGCTATATATTTATATACACATACCTGCCTGTTCTTTAGCAGCTTTTAGTGTTTGAAAGACCGTAATGTTCCTGTGTTTACATCTGCCACTCTGCCCGCTGCCGAGGCAGGAACACATTGGGTGCTGGGGGCAGTCTGCTCCGTGTCATACCTGTGACAGCTGCCAAGAGATAGAGTAACACCGACCTGAAAAACAGCCTGAAAGAAAAGCCTGCGCTTGTCTCGGTCACGTAACCACCTGGGAAGGCTTGATGTGCACCAGGCAGTGGTTCTTTCTTAAGTGGCCACAGGAACGCCGACATCCAAAGCGGAGATCAGAAGGCAGAAACGATCACTGCTGCTCCTCAGGGAACGGCGCAGGCAGGAGAGAAATCAGGCATGTCCCTTGTCTGGGCAGTGATCGGAGTGGGTGCTTCAAAGGCAAACCTGGGGAGAGTTACCGTGCAGGGAGAGGAGCTGAGAAAGCACCGAGGCAGCGGAGAAACCAGCCGCCAGTGTGCACCGGAGCGGGGTGCCGCGGGCCCAGGAGAACCCCTCAGGATGCAACGGAGGCACCACACACTGGGCAGCCCCATGTCTGCTGCCCAGTTCCTCCTCTGTTGCTCGGCACTGCCAGAGGACAGGGCTCTGCTTTCCCACTGCGTCCTGCACGAAAAGGAAGCGGGTGCAGGATGAAAGGGGCTGCTGGTGCCAGGCTGGGATGAAGGCGAGCAGAAGCTGGGCTGAACGCCGTCACGTGCAGAAGATGCTTGGACAAAGCACTAAGATGTCCAAAGAGGAACTAGGTGTGGGTCAGGACTGCGAGGTGGTGGTCCAGGTCACTTCATCCCGCACTGCTTCTCCTCCACTAATTTCTGCTTTCGATTCACCAAACTGGGGGTAGGATGGAGCATGTTGCTCCCCCCCGAGCCAGCTCTGCTGCTGGGTAAAAGCCCGTTGCCAAGGGCAGAGGGAGCAGGCTCTGCTGTGCTCTCGCTCCTTATTCTCCTGGAAAAAGGTGCCAAGAATTAGAACTGCATTTTTCGAGAGCAGCAGAATGAGCCAAGGGCCTGTCAGCTTGTCCCGAAACAACCCCTCTCCGCTCGCCGAGCGCGCACGCCAGCATTCCTGACGCACACCAATGTCCATCGCCCCTTGGCCCCCCCTGCGCAGCACGAAGCTGCGGAGCATTTCGTGGTGGAGCAAGCCAGAAAACCCTCTGAATGTTCTCTGCCTAAACCGCAGCCAAAGAGTTTTTACGTTTAAAAAGTAGGTTTGGGTCCAAAAAGAAGGGAGGTTTTCAGCGAGCGATTATAACTAGGCCCTTTGGCACTCGACAGCTCCTCTCCTGTTATCCATGCTGAGGGTGTTGTTAAGAGATGAGGCTCCACAAAGCACGGACGTGAAGCCACAGAGCTTTAGCAAGGGCTGTTGCCATGTTCGATATGTTATTACAGCTCCATCACCACAGGCATAAAGAGCAGCAACTCGTCTCTGCCAAATCCATCTCCAAAATCACTCCCCCAACTCCATCCCCTCCAGCAGCAGCCGGCAAACACTATCGATTGCTGTTGCATCTCCTCCACGGCTTTCCACCCAGCACTGGGAAGGAAGGATTTCACATTAAATACCCTCCTCCTCAAATCACAGCACGCAAAATTAATCTGATCAGTGTCACAACTCACTGGCTTTCATCGCGCAAGTCAGAACCGTGGATGGGCTGCATTTCCTAACAATGGAAAAGTACGGCACCAAAAACGTGCTCGGTGTTGTGTGTTCAACAGAGGAGACACCTGAGCTGCTCCCACCAAACTCCTCGCCCTCCCCAGGAAGGCCCTTGGCGAGGAGAGGTGCGCAGGGATGCCGAACAAGGAGGGAGGCCAAGTTCATCTGCGAGGAGATGTACGTGCTTGTGAATCCGTAACAACCTTCTGCTGCTTTGTCACCTGCACTAACCAGCCAGATGACACAGAAGCAGCAAGAATCACGTCCTTTCAGGACATAATAGGGCATATAATAATCCTTGCTATTAAAGAAAAAAATGATATACATAACAGACGTACAAGCTCTTCAAAGATGGAGAAGAAAAACCTCTCACCCAGCTCTCAACACTGCCCATCTGCAAGCAGAAAAAAACAGTGATATTTCTTCCAATGACAGGGATGAGGCACACGGAGCCAAGGGACCTTCATTCCCTCAAGCAGATCAGGTGAGGTGTCGCACTGCGTGAGCCTTGTACTATCGACTGAACGGAACAGAAAAGTCCAATTATGTAAATGATGAAGCCGGCTCCGGCGGAGCAGCCAGCCTGATCACGCCGCCCTTCGCCACCGCTACGGCTCGAAAGGCAATTTAAAAGGTTGTTTTGGATGTCGATCACCACAAATGAGCCGAAGGAGTGCAAAACAACAACCTGCACTTGAGGCACCAGCGGTTCGCCCGGCGGCTTTCCAGCAGCACTGAGCCTCGGCCCTGCTCTCCATGGCTCCAGAACTGCCACAGGCTGGAGCAGCCAGGGCAGGGGAGAGTCGGGCTGCAGGTGGCTCAGTAAGGTCAAGCTCAGTTTTAACACCCTGCCTCTGGAACGTTTCCGCAGCCCACGAGGGCTTTCCCTGCCATGCTCGACTCTCTCGGGCCATAGTTCAGTTCTTCAGCCATAGAAACTTCAGCTGGAAAATGGAATAAAATCCATTGCCTTGACAATCACGGCGCTCCCTCCCTGTAACCCCCCGCCCCAGGGCCGGCTGGAGGAGCCAAACGTCTCACAAGTACTACGCAAGGCCTAACAGCATCTGCTTTTCAAATTAAACCAGCACGGGTCTGTGCTTGGGACGGAGCATCCCATTCCAGATCCAACACTCCTCCAGCTCCTCATTCCCCTGGCTTCCCGTCCCGAGCTGGTGCACGGCACGGGCTGCTGACAAGCCCTCGCAGCTATCCTGGCATGGCTGCTCCGCAGTGGGCGACGCAGTGAACACCCAGGCACGCCACGAGAGCCGGGCTGCTCGCACAAGGCAGACCCACGCTCCTGAATGCGTGTTTTCACACCAAATGAGCAGGGGTCGACACACACACACACACATCCTCCTGTGATTTGGAAATGATCTTCGGAGCGGGGAGGAAAGCAAGGGAATGGAGAAATCCAGCCAGGAGTGTTTGCGCTGTGACAACATGAACAGTGCAAATATTTCAGCTTTTAAACATGTTTGGAATGACAGAGAACGCCAACATCTCCCTCATCTTCCCAGAAATAGCTTTGAATCATTGCTGCCCTAATGCAAAATCCTCCCCCCTCCTTCTTCCCCCACCCCTCCGAATCGTTTTTGCAATCAGATTTTTATCAGGCACAAGCCGACGGCGTGAGCAACCGCACGGCAGATGGGTGGATGGCGAACACGTCGCAGGAGGATCCTCCTACAGCTGCTGAACTCCACAACCCCAGGCCGCTGGCTCCCCATGGGCGCCCGACCGCTCCAGCAGCCCTAAGAAAGCCCAAGCACCTCCTGGAGAAGGCGGCTGCAAGGACAGTTAGTAAGAAATGTCGTTTCTACTAACTCTGTCTCGAAACTACGAGGACAAAAGCAGGGAAGACGTAGGCAGGTTTGTACCCACTAAAATCGTTGCATTTCTTCACTGCTCAGACCCGAGGTTAGAGCCACTTCCGTCGAAGTCGGCTCCTCCAAGCAGCGGCTGGGAAGCCCGGAGTGTGCGCAGGCTTTGCCTTGGGCACCCTGCAGCCCTTCGGGCGAGAAGTTTTCTTCTTGTGGCAAGATGTTTGAGGCATTTCACCTTCCACAGGGCTGATCCAGCCACGCGCTGGCACAGAATCCTGCATCTCACGTGGGTTTCGGATAACCTGGAGCCAGCGGCAGGATGCTGGCAGCATTCATGTGTCCCCTCTCCATCGGTGCCACCGCAGCTCCACAGGATCCCTCTGCCTAGGCATCCCATGGCAGCCACCCGCTCCCCCCCAGGTGGTGGCACAGCCACAGTTGGCAAAGGATTCATCTGCCTCTCCTGCAGCAGAGGCACAGGGCCAAGGAGGACAGCCCTGCTCTGTCACCGGGTCCCTGCTGGCAGACATTCACCAAAACCCCAGTAACGAGCCCAAAGTTCTTCTTCCCAAGTGAAAAACAGCTCCAGTGGGGAAGGGAGAGCCCAGCACGATCCATGCCGCAGACTTGGAGGCTACGGGAGGACACGTGCCCAGGCATGGCCAACGCTCACAGCTTCGTCTCGTTCTCCAGCCCCTCTGCGCTATTGTTCCATGGCAATAAATCATGGGGAGGCGCTGGAATTCCGGGCTGGTTTCTACAAGAGGGAGCCTGGGGTGCGGGAACTGAGATGCTGCCTGGCTTTTCCTTGCCAATTCCCTTGGTGGCTGCCACGCTCAGCGCCTTTCCGAGCGCTCCCCTCCTACGCATCCCGTCGGAGCGCAGCAGCTCTCCCAGTTCAAAGCACTGCTGCGTTTCCACCCCCTCCGCTCCCTTCCCCCAGCGCTGGATTACTCAATTAGAGATTATGCTTTTGCCAGTTACCTCCAAGCCAACTGGGGCCTCGGCCAAGGTCAACACAAGTTCCAGCCAGTTTCATTAATAACTGCAAGACCAACCCACTGGAAACTCTGAGAGGTTAATCCCAGCAACAGATCAATGTTCCCATAACAAAGTCACAGAGCAGAAACGCGACTGGTGATTTACCAGCCCACCAGCCCAGATATCCGTGCCTCCACACACCCCTCCCCGTACCGGGGCAAACCCTGCTGCCAGAGTCCCTGGCCTCCCGGCTCCTCTCCCCCGGCACACTCGGCAAGGGATGGAACAGCTACCAGGGAATGGCACTGCCAGGGCACTGCCCAGTGCGGCGAGGAGGGAGCGGGGCTCCCGAAAGGCTTTTCAGTTGTCCTCGGTGCTCCGCCAGCCCACGGCCGGGGCAGGAGCGAGCAGGCCAGCCAAGAGCCTTTCCATCCCACAGCCTGTTTTCCAGGAGTTTATTGTAAATTGGGCTCTGGAACGGGCAGCCAGTGTGAAATTTGGCATGGACGCTGCTGGCTTCAATGCATCATTAAAAAGGCATTTTAAATGTGTTAATTCCTCCTTTTTCAATTAATTGCTTTTAAAGCTACATTAACAAGCATCAAAGCAAAATACCCTTTGCCCTAATTTCTGCTTTGCCATACGTATTTCCTGGCCTTGGTGCTGCCTCTCCCAGAACTCACCCCTTCCATTTTCTTATTCCAGGTTTTAGTCTGTAGCACAACAAAAACACTCATGCCGAAAGGGAAGAAATTAAAACCCTTCAACAATGTAACGCAGAGCCCAAGTCCTAACAACGCACGGCTTCCTAACAGCCTCTTCTCCATCAGTAGTTGGTAATTATTTTACGAAAGAGGAAAGTGGCATTGTCCCTTGTACAGATGGGGAAATCTGAGATACAGAAAGGGAAAGAGACTTACCCAGTGACCAGCAGCCTGCCAGGGCAGATGGCAGCAAGGTTCAGGTTTCCTGAGCCTCCACCCAGCCCCGTA